CACCCATATCACTGCTCAGCTTAGTATTTGCTTCCATAGGTGTTTCAGCCGGTTTGGCACCTAACAATCCTGTTTCTTCCAACAAATCAAGAACATATTTCCTTTGACACAAATTAATACCATGCTTAGACCTTGCTATTTCTATCCCCAAGAAATACTTTAGTTTACCAAGGTCCTTTGTCTGAAAGTGTTCCTGTAGAAAGATTTTCAACCTATCAATTCCCACCTTTATCATTCCCGGTAATATCAATATCATCTACATATACCACCAATAGGATCTTTCCAGCCTGAGAGTCATGACTGAAGACTGAGTGGTCAACCTGGCATTGTTTCATACCAAACTTCTTTACCACCTCACTGAACCTACCAAACCATGCACGAGGAGACTGTTTAAGTCCATAAATGGCCTTCTTTAGTCGGCACACCTTACCATCCTCCCCCTGAGTAACAAACCCCGGTGATTGCTCCATATAGACCTCCTCAAGTAGATCACCATGTAGGAAAGCATTCTTGATATCAACCTGAAAGAGAGGCCAATCATACACAACAACAACTAGGGATATCACAACACGGACTGAACCAATCTTAGCAACCGGGGAGAAGGTCTCTGTGTGGTCAATACCATATGTTTGGGTGTACCCTTTGGCAACCAGTCTAGCTTTCAACTGCTCTACACTACCATCAGGTAAGTACTTAACAGTGTATACCTACTTACAACCGACAACCTGCTTACTAGGAGGAAGTGTGGTGAGGTCCCATGTATGATTATGAAATAGTGAACTGAGAGTTCTTCCATTGCATGGCACCACCCCGGAGAGGCAAGAGCTTCCCGGACATCCGTAGGGACAACAACAGAGGATAACAAGGAGATAAAATGGCAATGGGAAGTAGAAAGATGAGTGAGAGAAACATAATTAGAAAAATGATGAAGGGTGCAACTACATTTACCTTTTCGCAAGGCAATGGGAAGATCAAGTTCAGAAATCGGGGTCGGGGCTGGTGTGGGAACAACTGCCGGATCTGTCGACGAGGATGGAGCTGGAGGAGGAGTCGGTACATGTTTGCGATGTGTATACACTTGACGAATAGGTGGCCGTTCAACAGGTGGTGGCACTAGACATTCAGCTCATTACAAAGGTTTCTCATGCTAGTATAGTATTCCTCAAGACGTTGATTACCCTGTTGCAAATGAAAGTATTCCTGATATAGCTGATATACTCTAGTTGTGTTGTCTTGACCTGAATGCAACTTCTTAGCATGATCCCACACTTCCTTGGCAGTATCAAGAAACATGAAATTCATACTAATCTTGGGTTCCATACTGTTCCATAACCTTGTAATAATCTGTGCATCTTCTTGTTCTAGTCACCATACTCATGAGAATCAGTAGAGGGTTTTTCCTCCCTTATGTGTTTCACTTTCTTCTTTGCTTTAAGAAAGACTTCTACAGATTTCGCCCAAGGTACATAATTTTCTCCATTCAACTTGATAGAGGTCATCTGAACATTCAGGTAGTCTGTAGGAACTATCACACTAGTTTTACTGTCATTGTTGTCTCCCATTGCTGAATTCTGCACTCTCTACACCACAACCCTACCACACGACTACCTGAAAAACTCACCACACTGCTCGAAGACCACTCCCCCCTCAAACCACACTGAAATCTGCGTAAACTCTAACCCATTACAACCTGAATTTCCACCATACGATCTGGAAAATCAAACTATACTCAACACCCACTGCACCACTCGAATTAGTCCTCTTCTCTTCATCGATTAGGGGAGGGCTTCCTACAAACCATAGCAACCACCCATGAACTGCACGACTGGAGGCATAGAAACCTCCAAGGGAAGAGGGCGATCACTCCTTTTCAGCCTCTTCCCTTATCTCCAACCGATGGCAAAGAAAAAAAGAAGAAAACCCTAGACTGGATGCGTGAAGACCAGAATTCTGGGCAGATTCGGTTTGCTCAACCTAGCTCTGATAAGAAGAAGAAGAAGAATGTAGTACAATGTAGGGTTTGGGAGGTTCAGTAATGTAGTACAACAGTTTGGGGATGACACAATGTAGGGTTGATCATTCAGTGTTTAGTAGAGCTACTACCTCTGGGAAGATTGTGTTATCAGTCTATGCTGATGACATCATTATAACAAGAAGTGATGAGCATGGCATTGAAAAGCTTAAACAGTTCTTACAAAGCCAGTTCCAGACTAAGGACTTGGGGCACTTGAAATATTTTCTGGGCATAGAGGTAGCAAGGTCAAAGTGGGGAATCTCTCTCTCACAAAGGAAGTATGTGCTTGAAGATGTGAAGATGTTTGATAGTGAGGGGGAGCCCCTAGCTGATCCTGGATGGTACAAGAGAGTAGTTGGAAAACTGATTTATTTAACCATTACAAGACCAAACATTTCCTTCAGTGTTGGATTATTGAGCCAATTCATGCAGAACTCAAGGACAATCCATTGGGAAGGTATTGTTAGAGTTCTACGCTATTTGAAGGGTTCTCTAGGTAAAGAGTTGTTGTATATGAAAGAGAGAGAACTTTCCTTGGAAGGATACACTGATGCTGATTGGGCAGGGTCGGTTACTGACAAAAAATCAACAACTGATTACTGCACATTTTTGGTAGGGAATTTGATTACTTGGAAAAGCAAGAAGCAAAATGTGGTGGCTAGGAGTAGTGCTGAGGCCGAGTATAGAGCAATGGCCCACACTACATGTGAGTTGGTGTGGTTGAGACAATTGTTACAAGAGATGGGAATATCAGTCACAAACCCCATGAAGCTATTTTGTGACAACTAGGCAACCATTCATATCTCTTCCAATCCAGTGTATCATGAGAAGACCAAACACATAGAGGTGGATTGTAACTTTGTTAGAGAAAAGGTGGTCAGTGGAGAAATCATTACCCCATAAGTGAAGTCTGAAGATCACCTAGCTGATTTGTTTACCAATGGTTTGAGTGGTTCTCGGATGAAATACATTTGTAACAAGTTGGAGTTGTATAATATATATGCTCCAACTTGAGGGGGAGTGTTAAAATACAGCTTTGTTCTAGGGTTATTTTAGTCTTTCCTCTTTAAATCAGTGTTTTTTTGTCTCTATTCTCAAGTCTCTGTATACAGGGGTAGTATTGTAATTTTACTTTTCATTATGAATTAAACATACAAGGCAGTAGTTCTCTCTCTCGATTGAGACTGTGAGGCCCTATTCTGTTCGACTTCTTCTTCTCCTCTTCTTCTTCTCCATCTCTCCCCCTTCTAGGCTGATATCAGAAGTTTCTTTTTATTTATTTAATTAAATACAGGCCTGATAACATGTACAATATAAAGAAAGCTTACTGTATTAGTTTCAGTCCCTTGGGAATGTTTAATGAATGCTTCTTGATAGGGAATTTATGTCTATTGATGACTGTAATTACTGCTTGCAAGATTAAAGGGAAGATATAAAGAATTATGGGAGAGAGAACCAAAAATCACTCAATGGGGTGCCTAGAATCACTCCAAGCTGTGGGAATCACTTGTCACCCTTAGCATAAGCTGCAGGAAATCAAATAAGCTCCATTCATTCATCACTCCATGTTTTTGTACTTTAGATACACATATACGTTATTGGGGTGGCCAGTTCTACTAGAGCTAGAAAAAGCAAAAACTACAGAATTGCCACTATCAAAAGAAAACTCAGTAATCATAAACTATTTAACCATTGGCTATGAAATTTTAAATACATCTAAACTCTGATTTGGAAAATTAAACTCTCTGGGTTCCACAGGCAACCAAATTAAATGACAAAAAATACCCCTATTGTTAAAAATGCAACAATTACATGAAAAATTTAGAAATTTCCAGTTTGGGATTCTTTACTTCTGTGTCGCTCTTGCTTTTTTGGAGCCTTCTACTATCAGCAAGTCATCTTGTGTTTTTGAATATCATCATTATCTTCTAAGTTTTTTTTCATGCTCATGTGTTTAAATATAATAAAACAAAACATGACATGATTAGGTATGTATTTTTCTAATCAATGTTGTCAGATTCAAAAACAATTGTAATACTGTTTTGGTTACAAAGTCATATGTAAAATGATCCAGCCACTGGGTTGAGCCAATGACCCTTGACATCATACTTAAGTATTAGAAAAAATATTGTTTGCATGTTTATATGTACTTAAATGATTTGTGTCTAAAATTTCGATACTGAGGTACAGGTTCAAATCCCCTCATCTCTTATTTAGAGTAATGATGGTAATTACAATTGTCTCTCGTGTTTTTCTGAAAACCAGAAGGTTTGTGAAAATCCCCCAGTTTGTCAGTATTGGTTCTTCTGGTGTTTCTAAAAATTAGCACCGCAATAAAAAACGAAAACCCTTACTAGCTCATGGGTTAACGGGTCTGACTTTCTCCATTCCAAGTCTGACAATATTGGTTTTAATTCTCTCACTCCCTCTACTCTGCCGATTGTACTTTTCTATGGCTGTATCTCTCCATCTCTCTATTTTTCTCACATAGATTTTACTACAGGATGGAGAAAGAGTGCAAAATACAGAGTTCTTTGCTATGCCTAAAGGTAGGTTCTAAGGCCCGAAGACCTGACTGACAGTTGGGATTGCATCAATGTGGTTTTGGTTGTTGATGAGGTTTCCTAGTTTCTATGTTTTGAAAACCAGGGAACAGCTTCATTATAAAGTATAAACAACTAGCTCCAACTAATTTTTGCTCTTGATGCAAATACAACATATAAGTCTTGAATCTATTAAAGTAGGACATGCATGGCTTTTGCAAGATCCTATCCTAATTATCCCTGAAGATGACGTTTATAGTTGTCCTCAACACAAGCAATGCAGATGTTTGTATTATGTATTTGATCTATGCAAGGGGCTTGTCCGTTATGTATATATTTTTTCTTTTTGTATTTTTCTTTTATTTACTCCTGCTTTCCTTTGCCCTTTATGGGTTTCTGGTGGTTGTATGAATTGTGTAATTCTAGTATTTGTGCAATGGCAGTTCTATCAGATTATGGGCATTAACTGGTCAAGTTTTGATGGAAATGGTTGGTCATACTTCAATAGTCTATTCTGTCGATTCACATATCTCTGGACTTATTGTTAGTGGAAGTGAAGATTGTTTTGCCAAAATATGGAAAGGTTAGTACTTTTTGGTGGAACATGTTTTGGTTCTTTTTGTAGTTCATTTTCCATTTTTTCTGTTTTGGTATAACCTTCTGTGTTGAAAAGATCCAATTGTAATTTGTAAGTAGTCAAAGAATGTTCAATTTTACTTCTGTATTGTCTATACTTGCACAGCACCCGTAAGAACAAATTTTTAGTTGCAAGTTGAAGGGGTTGAAGGGCTGGGGTAGACGAAAAAGGACATGGACAGAAGTAGTAATAAACGATTTAAATGCCAATATTGACATTCAATAGAACAGAATGGTGAAGCAGGTTTCATGTAGCCGACCACATATGGTTGGGATAAGACTTGGATGATGATGATGATGATGATTGTCTCTGCTTGTAGTAAGTACTCATGTTGCCTTAAGAGATGGTCTTGGATGTTGCTCTTTTGTTTATTGAGTAAATTATGTTGAGATTACAGTAACCAAGCTCCTGGCTATTGGTTAGAAATTGCTTATATGTTCCCCTCATTGCTACCAAACAAAGGAGATTGCTTTTTTTTTTTTTTTCTATCAAGTGGGTCATATACTGGCTGGCAGATTTAATAAGGCTATAGGCCAATGTTGGTCCCAGCTATCTAGGGACTTGGGAGGGGTGAACTGCACAAACTGGCCACTCTCAGGCTTAAACCAATGCTCTCATGCTTGTTAGCTGGAGATTTTACCATTACACCAAACAATGGCCCCTACTAGATGTGAGGTCTAGCATTTCTAAGTTAGTGATCAAGAGGAGCTTCCAACCAAATACAAGGTTTGTTAGTTTTTTTTTTCGTTTAAATATTTGCAGTTGATATCATGTTCAAGTTTGAGCAAGTTCTGCCTTGGTCTTTTACCTCATAATTAGGTGCATCAGGTAAAGTGAATATGATCCTTAGTTATGTGCTACTTTGATGTTTATTCCAGAGGATCCTTCTTTTTGAATCGTTTACCCAACAATATCAGTGCTGAACCACTAATTACTATGTATAGGCATTCAGTTCTGTTGTTATACTTTTCCTCCAGTCATTAATGTTTTGTCTTGTTTGGTTTAACTTGAAATGTTCCTTAAGAAACTGTTTACTGCAGATGGAGTTTGTGTTCAAAGCATTGAACATCCTGGTTGTGTTTGGGATGTAAAATTCTTAGAGAATGGAGACATTGTGACGGCATGTTCTGATGGAGTTGTAAGGATCTGGACAGTACATGATGATAGAATTGCTGATTCACTTGAACTTGAGTCTTATGATTCCCAACTTTCTCACTACAAGTTTAGCAGGTATAACTAATCAGTATTTTTTCTTTATAGAGTGTTTATAATTGATAATATGGAACCTCTGTATGTTCAGAAGTTATCAGCTTGTCTGTACTAATCGTTTTCTCTTGCTTTTTTTTTTGTTTTTTTAAGGAGAGGTAACTCATTGTATTTGTGCCAGTGAGGTAAAAATGCTGTGAAAATGGGAGAATTCGTGCCTGTATAAGCTAGGGGGAGAGTAGCAGAGGGGCTAGCTCAGTGTCTTCCTATTTGAGGAGGGCTACTTCCCTTGTTTGTGCATTTCTATGACTTTATCAGTATTTTCTAATAAAATCCTGTTCATTTGCCAATCAAAAACAATGTTTTAGAAACCAACCCAGATGTTGACCCAGAAAGTGGCCAGGTGGCGGGTTTGGCTGTTATACTGGTGGTTACCTGGTGAAACCAGGGGTGCAACTCAGGTTGGCCCAAGTTAACATTTTACACTACTTCAGGCTCAGGCTTTGGGTTGGGCCCATTCAAATCTTGGCAAAAGTCCAACCCGAGCCTACCCAAGTTGCAACCCTAGGTGAAGTGATTGAAACCATCAAAAGGCATGACCTGGTCAGCTGTCCTGGTCACTGGTTCAGTTGCCCAGGTCAACAACAGGTTGAAAACACTGACCAAACCAGAATGAAAAGTGCAAGAATTAAAAGGAAAAATGTAATTGTCGTGATTGTGATAATTATTCTTTTTTAAGGTTATCTGGCTATAGTTGGTTGAACCCATCAACTATAATCTAGCTATTGTGATAATTATTCTTTTTGTTTTGATTGTATGGGCTGGGGAATAAAAAGTTTGTATGTAAAAGGTTTGAGGATTGTTGGTGGCCTGGGTTGTGGGCTTTGAGCCTTGGGTGATATCTTGTCACCTAGATGTACTCTTTTTCTATTTAATATATTTTTTTCTTTTTTATTTATTTCCAAAAAAAAAGAGAATCTTAGCCATTTGTTTCAAGCTTTTGAAGTCTTAAAATGACTAAAACTGTAATTAAGAAGTGAAATTCACTGTAGGTAGGACACTTAAGGCATTATGAATATGAGTAGACTTAATGGTCATTGTTGTCATTTTTTTGTGTCCTATTTGTGTTTATGTTACTGGTATTTGGCTGATCATTTACTTTGCCAGCTCATTTGGTTCCCTGATTTGCATTGCCTGTGACATGTTTACTTAGGAAGAGGGTTGGTGGATTGAAATTGGAAGATTTACCTGGTCTAGAGGCTTTGCAAATTCCAGGTTTGATCCTAAGTTCTTAAGGAAAACTGCAAAATTTGACATGTTATCACAATCTAATTTCATGGATTTTTACACATAATTTGTAGGCATTGATATGCATAAAAGCCTTATCATGCAAAATTAAATGCATATTTGTGCATGCATGCACGTCTTTATGTATTGCCAAAACTTTGTATTTTGGCCAATAAAAAGTTAGAATTTCTTTTGTTGGGAAATAAAATCATTGAGATAATGTATACATACAGATGCAATTGTTGACATGTGTTTAAGTATAACAAATGTTTAGTATCTATTATTTGCGAAGTCTTGTAATGGGCATTGAGATTGGCCAATGACTGTCTTATGTTAGTAACTTATTCAATCTTTTTAATTTTTTGTTGATTAGGTGCCAATGACGGGCAGACAAAAATTGTGAGAGAAGGGGATAATGGTGTAGCATACTCATGGAATTCGAGAGAACAAAAATGGGACAAAGTACTAGCTTGTTATATTTAAGAAATTATTTACTTCTTTGTTCTTTGAATCTCTACCAAATTCAAAATTATTGAATTTTCTTCTTACTCTAATGATGTTTTCTTAAATTTATTGAAATGATTTTATGTAATTACTTTCCTTCCTATTATGCATTTAAGTCACAAAATATAGTGGTTGCCAGTTCTTTTCAATTGTTTGCGCTCTCCTTAGTGCATGAGGGTGGGCCTTAGGGCAATGGTTGGGTTGCTCCATTGCGAACTGGGTGACCAGGGTTCAAATCTCTTGGAAACAATCTCTCTGTATGTACAGGGGTAAGTCTGCATACATCTGTCCCTCCCCAGACCCCACATTGGTGGAAGCCTCGTGCGCTGGGCACTCTCTTTAGTGCATCATGTTGCTTGCATACTTGTGGGTGCCCCCTAGTAAGGCCTTCAGCTTAAGTTGAATCTGCATCCCTTATTTCTGCTAACTTCCTGCTGTGTGTTGCCATCTGTTTTGTAAAATATCTACCAATTTCAGTTGGCTTTCAATTATGGAAGTTCCATGAAAGTTATGTTTAATCTCATATGCTGCTGGTTAAGGGAGATTATTTCAAGTTGACGATTTCCTCTCCCCCCAGAAAGGACACAAATCTTAATCTAATTTGGAGTAGTGGGATTGTTGATAGTAAACTGCAATGAATTGTGACTATTTGATGAACTGTTAAAATTTAATAGAAAGGGCATGGTGGTTACAGGAAGCACCTTAATATATGGGGAGATGGGGAGGGGCACTTTGATTATAATTCTATTTGGTATATTAATATATTATATACATGCCATACTGTCTCCAATAGTTTCCTCATCAAAAAAAAGTTTTATGTAATTGGTTTATAAACAACACTGGCCATATATCTATTTATGTATGTATATACATTTTTTTTTTGTCTCAAACTTTCATTGCAAATATGAGTTAAACATGAATTTACATTTAGCCGATCATTTTCTGTATCATGTTTTTTTTGAAGATAAAATAATTTTTATTTCTGTATCGTTGATTCACTGAACTTTGGCTGTTAATTTTTATTCTTCAAAAATAAAAACCCTAACTTTTCCCGTAGCATACTTTACCTTCCCTCAAAAAATATTTTTGCTGTTTGTTGAATTGCTAAGTGTGTTGGATAGCCATATTTATGCTTGGCAGGCATTGTCTCTTATATATTTTTGGACTTGGAAAAGTCATTTCTGAAGGTTATTTGGATTCCACTGAGAACTGGTTCCATGTGGTTAACTCATTTAATTTCTAATGTATTTCATTTGCATTGAATTTCTTTAATGGTGTGATTTATTTAGATTATTATTTTAGTGTAGAAGTTGTATGTGTTTGTGCTGAAATCTGAAATTGGTAGTTCTGGAAAAGTCATTTCTGAAGGTTATTTGGATTCCATTGAACTAGTTCCATGTGGCTAGCTCATTTTTTTTGGATAAGTAATGTGGTTAGCTCATTTAGTTTCTAATATATTTCATTTGCATTGAGTTTCTTTTCACTTATTTGGTTTCTTTGTATGCTAATATCTATAAATGCTGATTGAAATAAATTTTGAATATCTAGATTGGTGAAGTTGTTGATGGACCTGATGATAACATGAACCGTGCTGTTCTTGATGGCGTTCAGTATGATTATGGTAAACTTAGGCTTTTGTGTCAGTCACAATTCTTTTATTTCTTTTTATCTATTTTTGATTCCTTTTTCTAATATATGAATTCTGCTTCTTAGTATTTGATGTTGATATTGGAGATGGTGAGCCTATCCGCAAATTGCCTTACAACCGATCAGGTATTTCCTTGTTATGTAACACATGCTTTTGTTTGGTTTTGCAAGGGTTAGCTTTGATGTTATCTTCTCTCTCTCTCTCTCTTGTTTGTTACTTTGTGCATTTTAATTATCTCATTTTTTTTTCATTTCCTCGCAAACATACATTTCTTTGTTATTGGGAGCTAAACTACGAAATGGTGTTGAATGATTGATGCAATCTTCGAGTTTAAGCGAATGAAAAATTGGACAGTTCCTTTTAGTGTTCTCAAATCTAGTCACTTGGTACCTATGCTGTAGCATATGACAACCAGGAAAATTTTTGATGGGAAACAGATAAAGGGGTAGTCCTACAACTTTGAGCTCTGGTGGTTTGGTTTATAGGGTGAAGGAAGGTAATTTGGGTGACTAATGATGAATAATATAGATGGTTAAACAAGTAATAGAATTAAAAAGAAAGAGGAAAAATCTTGCTGTTAGATTGTACAATATATAGATAGATTGCTTGAGGGAGAAATAGCTCGGGGGGTGGTTGGATGTGGCTGTAATCTTCAATTACAATAACTTAGGTTTTGTTTGGATAACTTCAGGGTTTGTGCTTTTTAAAAACAACTTTCATCGAATGCTCAAAACACTTTTTGGCTCATTTTTGTTTTCCAAAGTTCAAAGCTCAAAAGCAAAAGCTTATCCAAATGGAGACTTAATTTATAGAGTGAATAGAAGGGCTGGATTCTCTCTTTATTGATTCCAATTTCAACTAGGAAACTGACAAGAATAGATTCCTAGTTGAATTGGAGCTAAGGTAAACCAATAAATAATCCATGGGAGTATTCAAGGAGTCCAAAACCCATATATAACCCCATAGGAACAGTCAAATATGGTTGTCAACTCTTAAATAATCCATTACTAATCCTGAAATTAACTAAATGAAAGATGTTAGTTCCGAGATAGATCTATAATTAAATAGAAATAACACTATAAAGATTCCATTTGGGTTGTCTCCTTTTGATATTTAGGTTTAGGTAGATGTATTTAGTCTAAGGCGCTATTTGAATAAGCTTTTACTTGTGGACTTTAGGCTTTTAAAAGTTCGAAAAACCAAAAGTTTACTTTGTTTATTTGGTAGAGCCTGCTTCTCGAAGCCAAAATCCAAGAAGCCAAAGTGGATTAAGGGCTGAAATTCCAAAGTCAAAATAATAGATTTTGGTCTTTTGGCCTTGAACTTTTTGGACGAAACGTGACTCAAACCTCTTGACTCTCTTGACTCTCTTCATTGGTAAGTCCATTCTTCTTCTTCTTCTTCTTCTCAACAAAACTCTAACCGGTTTTTCACAAATCGAACATTTGGTTCCACTCCCAAGTATGGCATCTTAAAACCCTTCTACCCCCTTCATAAAATTTTCTTGTTTTTTGCATTTGTTCTATGAAACCCCCATTCAAATGTATTTGTTGTGTTCTATTAAACCCCCATTCAAATGTATTTGTTGTGTTCTATTAAACCCCCCATACTCATGTATTCCACCATGCTCTACAAAATCCCCTTTTGAATGTTTCTGTTGTCTTCTATTGAACTCCCATCCTTTTGTATTATAGTGTGTTTTATTAAACTCCCATTCATATGTTTAATCTTATATGTTAAAACACCAATTTGAATGTGTGTTAAACCCCTCATTCGGCTGTGTTCTACACTCCTCTCATACAGAAACAATATCCCTATTATGTTTTAAACCCCCCACATGTTTGATGAATTGTTTGTTTATCATGTAATCTCTATATTATCTGCAATGGACTGTTTCATCTACTATTTCTTTGACAAACTGAATACTGAATGGGGAAGGATGTTAATGGACTATTTCATCTATTGTTTCTTTGACAGATTGAATGTGAAAGGATGATCTTCTTTTGATTAACTGTTTCATCTATTATTTCTTTGATGGACTGAATGGGAAAGAATGATCTTATGAGTTATGATTAATTCACTGTTTCATCTATCATTTCTTTGATGGATTGAATGGGAAAGAAAGATTTTCTTAGGATCAATGGACTGTTTTATCTGTTATTTCTTTCTTGGATTGATGGGGAAGAAGGTTAATAGGCTGAATACAATATTTTAATTACAAGTTTACAACCAATATATTGGTGCCACCTGTCAATGAAAGTAGGAAAAGTAGTTTGGTATTACCAAATACCCAATTTGAGCTTTTGCTTCGAGAAGCATTGTCTAGAAGCCAAATTTGCCAAGTGGATCACATAGCTAAATGTCCGAAATGGAAAGCCAGAAATTAGCTTATCCAAATGACACCCAAGTTTTTGGGGCTGGCATTGTTGTGCTTTCAGTTATTTGGTTTTGTGATAGTTTCGGTTTGCATGTGGTTATGGGTGTGTACACCGGTTTAGGGAGTTGCTTTAGATATGCTTGTGTTGATTTTACATTTTGTCTTTATTTTTGGTGTTGTTGCTGTTTTTTTTTTTTTTTTTGTTTGGTGGAGGCCTGTCTGTTGCGTTCTTGGGCCACAAGCTATATTCCACTGGTATATGTACTTTTCTTTTAATGAATTTTATTTTTCCATAAAAAGTGGTCCTGTTACAAGTTTATCTATTGCATCCTTTTTCCTTTATTTTTTCTTCCTTATTTTTGGGGGGAGTTGCTTTAGATATGCTTGTGTTGATTTTACATTTTGTCTTTATTTTTGGTGTTGTTGCTGTTTTTTTTTTTGTTTGGTGGAGGCCTGTCTGTTGCGTTCTTGGGCCACAAGCTATATTCCACTGGTATATGTACTTTTCTTTTAATGAATTTTATNGGGGGGGGGGAGGGATTGGTAACTCTAAGAATTCATTCAATATAAGATATGAATTTGTGTACAGGTCAGAGAGGTTAATGAACTCTGAAAATAGCATAGGCCACTTTAAACAAAATTACAAATGAGTATAATCATATATTCATTAATGCCTTGCCATCTATTCTTTTTCTATGGCAAACTTTAGACATTCCTTTGAATTCTTTTGAAAATAATGTCTATTCTACCTTCTGCTTCAGATGGATTGGATAACCATGTGCATCAATTAGTTCTTTCTTATTTCCAATAAGATCTATGTGAGGTACTTCTTTCACAAGCTTAAGTCCATTCAAAGAACCAGCTCTAGAGATTAGAAAATATGTAATTATTGAAAAATCCTCGTGCTGGGTTGTCTGTAATTGTAACTTTAGAACTCACCACCTTCAACAATTAACACTTGTGATCTTCAAGTTTCTGCTGCCTGATGGCCCCAACAACTCTGCTTGTGGTGTGTCACTATTTCTTATACAAGATTGCAATGGTTTGAAAGCTTGAAAGTCGGTGTACTGTTGAATTCTCAGACTTTGTTTAGAGCTCAAACTCTAGCTGAAAGTGAAATTTCTGGAGGGTGAATCCAAACCTCTATTCACTCAGTCTAGCTCCTTTTTTGTGAAACTCAAAATACAGTCTTACAAAAGGAGTAAATGGTGAAACTAAACTAAACATGCTCCTAACATGATATCCAACCTTAAATGTGAAAATACTGAAAAGCTAGGATACCCTGGTATACTGGTACAATGGTGCCACATCATGTCAGATATTTCATTTTTTTTGTAAATTCTTTATCTGATACCATGTTCAGCTGTATCCTTGCCATATCTAGGTAACTCAGATGGAAAAACATGCTACCTTATCAAAAAGTAAATTTTCCTTACTGGACATACATGATAGAAATGCTAGAGACAATTAAGTTACAATGTAGGCCTTGAAGGGCAAAAGAACAAAAAAGTTGACCTGGCCATTCTAAACCCATATTTCTTTTCGTTGCTTAGAGTATCCTCAAGAGAGTATTAATTCCTATTCTACATGGCTTCCCAAATGTTTTACAGATAAATTTAAAAGAGAGAGAAAACTTCATTCACATCAGCAGCATGGAAATTATTTTTTATCCAATTCATAATGTAGGCCTGGAAGGGCTAAATAACAATATAATTGACCTGGCCATTCTAACCCAAACTTTTCTTTTCCTTACTTAATGTAACCTCAAGAAGTATTTATCCCTCTTCTAAATACCTTTCCAAATGTTTTACAAATAATTAGAAAAGAGGAATATGTACTCACATCAGCAGCATGGAGATTATTTTTTTAATCTGCATGTCTAGGCATAATTTTTGTCGCTCATGCTGCTTCATGTTCCACCTACTTTGAATTGGATGGATCTTCTTAATATAGTTTTTTGCTTATTTAGATTACTTATACCTTTTTTTTACTTCAAATGATATTTACTGTACCATCAAATGCACATATTCATCAGCTTGAAATGATTATACAATAGTGATCTATTTCCAGATAACCCTTATGATACTGCTGACAAGTGGCTTCTAAAGGAAAATCTTCCACTTTCTTATCGGCAACAAATAGTGGAGTTTATACTGCAAAATACTGGACAGAGAAATTTCACTCTTGATACATCATTCCGTGATCCTTATACGGGCTGTAAGTATTTAGAGTTTTGTGCCAACTGCCAACACATGATAGGGATAGTAGAATAGGTCCAATATCCTTATTGGCTTCTATTTGTAATGAATGTTTATATATATATATTTTTTTTTGTTGCAGCTAGTGCTTATATACCTGGAGAACCTTCAATTGCATCAGGTTTGTTATTCTTACTTTAGTTTCTTATTATCTTCCATGATCAGGATATATAACTAGCTTATCATGTTTAACCTCTACTTTTATCTCATGTATTTTTTCATACTCCAGGTGTTTCAACAAAACCTGTTTTCAAGCATATCCCCAAGGTATGTTCTTATCATTCTCATTTGCTTCTTGTTTCCATTGATGGGGAATTTTTGAGATATGGTTAACTTTATCGCAGCTTGTTGGTATTATTATATTGTAAAGATCTCTTTGGTCTTGTGAATGAAAAGAAAACAAGGAAAATTTAATTTATAGCACTCAAATATTTGAACACATGACACGATTTAGGGAGGAAAGGAGAGGTACAAAGAAAAGGAACCACATAATGGTTCTTCATTGTCTCATTATGAGAATCAATTGGGCCTCCTAAAGATATTACTGTGTCAATGTTGATTGCTATCATTGCACAGGTTATAGTCAAAGAGCTGTTGAGATTGATCCCCCACAATGTATAGTATAAGTAAGTTTAGGTGATAAGAGAAAGTGAACAGTGTTTGTGTTTTGCACACATCAGCTATATTTATTTCTATAACACAATCAGAAGTCAAATATCCACATCAATGTGTTTCTTCCCTTCCCTCTCTCTCTCTTGCTCTTTTTTTCGTCAATGCTCTCCAAAACAACCAAAACAAGAAACAATAGTAATAAAAAGTAAAAGAAACATGAAAAAATAAAATGATGTGCCACAGTCTGATTTTACTAAAGAAAAAAAAAGAATCTTAACATGGATTAGATTTAGGTGATATTTGGTATCATTGCCGTTTTCTCAGACAATGGCCACACCTTCAAATTCGATAAAGTAACTCCAGGTTCTATGCATATTTTATATTGTTATTTGGTGCCAGATAGGCAGCATTAGGTGCCACGTAGGCAAAAAGGTGAAAACATTGTTTCCATTGCAAAAAAAGAAAAAAGTCAAAATGATGTTTTCTTCTAAAGTTGCTCTCACAGAGTTAGAGGCATTCAAGTGTTGCTTGAAATGGCTTGAAAATGCTCAACCAAACAAGAAAAAGTGAGGGAGAGAGGAAAATGCCTACATGGCACTAACATGGCAGAAATGCCTTGGAGAAATGACTCCAGTACCAAACACTGCCTTAGGTTGCCTTGTTTGCAGTGGGAAGATGGTCGCCATCCCAGTGGGTTGAAAGATAAGGATAACTCTTATAAATGTTTTTGCTGCCTAAGTGCCTGATATGTAGGGGGTTTCCTTGTTCATAATAAAGTGTTCAAAAAAGAAAAAAAAAAGAAAAGAGAAAAGTAAACCTCTTGTAAATGTTTTTGCTGCCTAAGTGCCTGATATGTAGAAGGTTTACTTGTTCAGAACATGTCTCATTATTTTTAGTCTTTTCTGGCTTCCTATTTTTTTTCTTCCTATCTAGCTTGTTTCGCTAATGAAATGGCTGAAAAGGAGATTCCAATAGACAAGTTAGCAGAAATATGAATGTTGAGATGAATGAGTGGGAAAACTAGAAAGGATGGGATATGGCTTTACAATGCTTTGGGTGCATTTTCGTTCCTGGCCTCAGTACTGGCTCCATTTAAGTAGAAGAGGGAATATACTTTGGGGAATTTTACCAGCAGCCATCATCTGGACAGTTTGGAGAGAAAGAAACTTGTGCGCTTTTGAAAACAACCATTCTGAATTAGACACTGTAAAAAGCAAGTTAAAAGGTTTGTTATTGTTCCTGGTTATGCATTCAAACTCCTTTTTGAGGGGTCTGGCCTTGTAATTTTTTTGGTGTTGGATCCTTTTTTTTTTGATAAATGAGAGTGATTTTACTAATTCAAATAAAGAGAGTACAGTCAGCCTAGGAGGAGGCATGGGCATGAGGTGTTACCTCCCCAAGGATTGAACTATAAGCACTAAACACACACAAGCCTGAAGCACAATTACAAGGTAGCCCACAACAGATCTCCCCTTGATACCCCTTGTTTGGCCAGAGAATCAGCCATTGCATTTGCTGATCTGCTAACCCACTGAACCCTGACTGTCATATTTCTTGTCAGCCATTTAACTTTCTTTATCAGATCCCTGTAACCCCAACAAGCTGTTTCTGGACTTGTCAGCCAGCCCACTACTACCTTAGAATATTGGGCTAAAGATAGTTTGGTCATGTCCAGAGAAGACCATCTACAGCACCATAAGAAGAAGTGATCTATTGCAAGTTGACAAGTCTAGAAGAGATAGGGGCAGGGTGAAAAGGATTATGGTAGTGTGGTGTAGTTGAAGTCTCTGGGTCCAACTTTTATAGGTTATGACAAGTTTGCACCTTCTGTGTTTAGAGACCTGGAAGAAAGTTTTGCCTAAAAAGAACGAGTTGGTGATGTGCTGTCTTAAGTGATGACAAGTTTTGCACCAACTTGAAGAATGCTAGCATGTATCTTTTGAAGTTGGGAAAAACAACAGGTTTTGTTTTGTGGTGCCAAATATTGTGGAGTGTTGTCTTAAGTGATGACTTTCTCTCTACAATATAGCAATGGAGAACACCAATGGTTGAAGAATGATATGAGATGGTTGGTTGAGGTTTAGAATGTATGAGAGTGATTGGGAAAATGATAAGCATGGACCCCCTATGGCCCTACCTCACATTCAGCATGTTAGAGACAAGACTGCCTATGAAAATGGGAGGGTGTGAGATTTTGATTCAGATGGATTCTTCTCACTTAAATTTTGTTTCCTTACATAGACTGGCGGTTCCAAAGCTCCCTGGCCCCTGGATTTGTGTACCCAATATCCCATCAAATATTTCCTTTTTCACTTCAATGTCATGCTTGGACAAGTTTCTAATCATAGATCATCTCTCGTCGGTCAGGAGTTACTGCTCCCTCTGTGGTACTAAAGAGGAACCAGTACCCTCTCTCTTCATTGCCCATTTCTAGTGAGATTGGTACCACTTCATCAAGCTTTTTGGGTCAATGGTTAATAGTGGACAACAGACAATCTGATTTGCATACTAGGGTGTTTGGCAATAAGGGTATAAATTGAAAGATTATTTAGAGAAAAAGGTTCTTGGGATGTGCTGTTATGGATAACACAGGATGGCCTAAATTACTTACATACCTTCTAACTAAAACAATTTCAGATTTTGAACTTTTAACAACTTTTGTGATGCTGCAATGCATTATTTTTGTGATCCTAAATGGTGAATAATTGTTTATGTTGTGTATCTGCTATTGTTAAAAAAACAATCTTCTTTTTATATGCTTTATATCAATATTGTGCAAGACCAAGATTTTTAAAACCGAACTGGACCGGGTCGAATGGTTTGACCATCCAGTTCGAATGGCTGACCTGTTCTGACTTAAAAAAATGAAAAATGAAAAACGGCCAAAAACCGTTTTTTGGGTTGACGACAGTGATTTAAAAGGCGCGCCTAGGCGCATAGGTGAGGCCCATTTTAGGGTAGGCGCCTTGCCCAGGTCCTAGGCACAACACTTTCAAAAGGCGCATGCCTAGTGCGCCTTGTGCCTTGGCCTAGGCGTGTGCCTTGGTCCAGGTGTGCGCCTTTTGAAAAGGCAAATAAAATCATTATTTTTGTGTGAGATAAGAATTTAATGTTGTTCATTCATTTATCTAAATAAAATATTTGCTAATGTTGTTCATTCATTCGTCTTAATAAAATATCTTCTTAAAAGCCAAATAAAGTTATAAAATCATTATTTTTGTATGAGAATTAAGAATTTAAGACCCTAATATGGACTTGTTTGGGCTTGCCTTGAGGGGCGTGGCACAAAGGCGACTCGTAGAATGAGGAATGTAATATGTTTTACATCACATTAGCTACTTGAAGTAATGCAATTGAAGAAAAAAAGAGATTGTGGGCTTTACATTCTTGAAAATGTTTTATATGTTTGATTTTATTTTTAAATTTTCATTTGAATATGCTTTACATGTTATGCTTATGTATTTTAATTTTAGGTAATAGGTTTTTTAAAGCCGTTATTTCTAAAAATTAAGTTTATATTTCTTATTAGTATTATGTTTAATATTTTTGCATTTTTTTGAATTTTCTGACATTTTTTGATTTTTAGCATTTTTTTTTTGTATTTTTGCGCCTTGCGTTAAAAAGGCGTGCGCCTCGCCTTGCACCTCTTGCCTTAGGCGCAAATTGGCCCTTGCGCTTTTAAAACACTGGTCAACGGTTTGATGGTTCGACCACCCAGGTTAGTAGGTTGCTGACCAAATCAACGATTTTTGGCCAAAAAGCGGTTTTAGGGTGAAACAGAACCGGTTACCTGACTGATTCTCGGGTTTTCCGTTCTGACCATCTGGTCTGGTCTGGTTTTCGAAACCATGTGCAAGACTATCAAATTTTATCCATATATGTTATTTATCAAGGAAAGAAGATAAAAGCTATATGAAAGAAAGAACACAAGGTGTTGGATTAACACCTTGCATCTATGAACGCGTATACCTATACAACAGTGCCATACCATGTTATATGTTTCAACTTTTAGTTTAAATTCTGTATCCAACACCTTGTTGAGTTGTGCTTAAGTTGTATCTGGGGGTAGGGATGTTTATTGCTTGGTTCAAACCGCAAAACCGGACTGGACCAAACCAAATTTGTGCTTTGGTTCAGTCTGCACTTGAAAACGGTTTGGTTCGGTTTCATATTTTTCTAAGTTGCAATTTGCGGCTTCGGTTTGGTTTCATGGACTTTATAAACTGAACCAAACTGTAAACTGAAATTATATATATATATATATATATATCTATAAATATACAATATAATTATATAAATAAATGATGTATAGATATATAATAAACTCTTTTATTTTATAATAAGATAATAAAATAAAGTTTTAAGTTTTAATTTTTAGGGGTGCTATTTGGTCTTTCTAATTGGGTTAAGCCCAATAGAATAAAAAAATGGCCAAAGTTCCCCAAACTGTATTAGAAACAGCACCATAGCATAATAAAATGGTCTGGTTGGGTTTGGGAACTTCTCAAACCGTAATTTACTGGTTTGGTCTAAGATCTTTTCTAAACCACACTGAACCAGATTGTGAACACCCCTATTTGGGGGTAACAGAACCCAGCACACCAAAGGAAATCTGCTTTGGATAAAAAGACAAGTTCTAAACATGATTATCCACAAGATGCAAAACTTTCCAAGATTACCAAAAGCATTTCCAAAGTTGGGAAATAGCAAAAACCATTCAATTAAAATGGATACATTATTCAATTCATTTGCACTTACCACATTGAAATTTTCTGCAGTCATTGCGGTGCCTCCCATATTCTGAAAGCCTCCTCCAATTTCCTCCTGTAGCCCCTTGAGAAAACTTTATGATGTTGGTAAAGAAGACCTAAAATATGTAAATGGAGTTTTTTTGGGTGAGTATCTTTTGAGTTGACAGATTTTGCTGTCTTTTAGGCACTCACTTTCTTGCTGCAAGATTTTATGTTTTGAGCAAGTATTTATAAGGTTCTGAAAGAGCAAGGAGAAGACAAAAAAAAAAGCATGGTCTGAAGTGGTAAAAAATGATTCAAGTGCTTATAATTTGACTGAAAATATGGTTCTTGATAGAGAAAAAATGGCAGGACAGGATTTATGGAACCAGGTCCAAATAGTTGAGATTAAGGCTGAGTTGATTTGAGTTTAGTTTCCATTCCTGGTTTAACCTTACTAGGGTTAGTTCAGTACTACCTTCTCTTCGCAGTCAAACAATTTCATTTTATGGTTTATCTGTCAAATTTTGTAGATTTGCATATAGATTTGGTAAAGGTTGCATCCATGTCTGTCAAAGGTTGAAATTTCTAGCACAAAATATGGGTTTTATTCTTCTTTTAGAAACAAATATTTCGAAGTTAGTTTGTGCTGTTTGAGCTTATATCTGTAGTTATGTAGTATGCAATATCATCAAATAACACAAATATTTCTTTATTTAGGGTGCATTTCCCTATATCCTTCTTAGTTTTTTTTTGATCAGTATATATCCTTCTTAGTTTTCTAAGTAATATTTTCTTCATAGGTACACAAACTTGTGTCATCGTAGACTTAGACATTTACATTTTGTAATTATTCTAGGAGACAACAATATTGATTGTAGTGACTCCATATTTTCCAACCCAGTGGTAAGGAGCTTAGAGCTTCTAGATTTAGAATGGAACAGAGTGGCTACTTCCCAATCTGTATTTGTAAAGAGCAATTATAGCCCAGTGGAAATTAAAGGGGCTATGTTCACAATGGAGAGATCTAAAGCCCCTGACCTGAATAGATTCTCTATGACATTCTATGAGGATTATCATTGGAAGTTTTCAATGAATTTTACCAAAGAGGGGAAATTTCTTCAGGAATAAATGCTACTTTTATAGCATTAGTGCCAAAAAAGAAAGAGGCTAGGACGCAGGAGGATTTTAGACCTATAAGCCTGGTATGAAGTCTTTATAAAATTATAGCAAAGGTCCGTATTGGAAGATTGAAGAAAGTCTTGCCCTTGGCAATTTTACAGTTTCAAGGTGCTTTTGTGGAGGAGAGGCAAATAGTGGACCAAATCCTAGTGGTGAATGGATCTGTGGCACATAAGAAAAGGGGGGAAAACGGCTGATATGCAAGTTGGACTTAGAAAAGGATTAGGACTTAGTGGATTGGTCTTTCCTCAAGATCCTCGAGAAGATAGGAATGGATGAATGATAGAGAAGCTGGGTAAAGGGTTGTATTATCTTAGTGTATTATTCAATCCTGATTAATGGTGTTGCTAGAGGCATCTTTCCGACTAAAAGAGGGTTGTATTAGCTTAGTGTATTATTCAATCTTGATTTATGCTCCTCTTCTTGTTCAAATTGATTACTGAGGTTCTAAGTAGAATGGTTATCAAGGCTGATCTGGATAACTTGATTAGAGGCTGGAGGGTAGGAAAGAATGAGGTCTCACTTGCAATATCTAGATGACATGATAGTGTTATGTGAAAGAAATGATCAAGAAATTGTGAGGAACCCAAAGGATCTAGTTAATGCCTTTGAGAATGCATCTTGTTGAGGGTGAATTTGGGGAAGAGCTGTGTAGTGGAGATAACATGGAGGTTAAAAGACTTCTGGAAATCTGTTAGGAGGAAATCCGAGAACAAAAGACTTTTGGAAACCTAGATTCACTAAGAAGCTGACTCTTTGAAAAAGGAATTACATTTTAATGGGAGGGAGAATAACTCTAATTAAGTCTACAATGGCTAACTTACCCATTTACTACATGTCCACTTTTGTATACCTGTTAAAGTGACTACTAGGCAGCCTGAACAATACATGAGGGAATTTTATTGGAACTGGGGATGAGAGGAAGGACCATTTGGGAAACAGTGGTGTGGACTATATGGGAAGAAAGAAATGAGAAAATTTTCAGTGAAAAAGCAGGTCTAAGGAGGAGATAATAGAGGGTATAAAGGTCAGAGACTCAGAGTTACACATTGGGTAAACACAACGGAATTTTTTCAAACTTTTTGAGTGGTTGATATAGTTAGAAAATGGACTGAAGTGGCACACTCATATAAAGGAAAAGATAGGGTGAGCATGGAATGGAAATTTCCAGTAGATAACAGACTAAAACTGAACTTTGATGAAGCTCTTTGGGCAATCAAGGGATGGCAGGCATAGGGGGTGTGTTCAGAGATTCTTCAGGCAAGGTGGTGGCTATGTACTTGGGGCCAATTGGGGTTGGAGATTCACTCAGAGCTGAACTATTGGCAATGCTGCAAGGATTAAGATTGAAAAAATAGTTTGGCTTCCAACAATTGGAAGTGGAAGGGAACTCAAAACTGGTTATATCTTGGGCAAGGAATAGTAACCCAGCACCTTGGGCCTACAGGAATGCCTTCAGGGAGATAGAATACTTATAAGGGAGCTGAATGCCATTTTTAACTTGGTTAGAACTGCGAATGGGATGTTGGATACACTAGAAAAACAATAGACAGCAATTGTTTTGGGCAAGAGTGTAAACTACTTTGTATTTGGGGTGGTTGGAACGAATCTGGATTCAGTCCTCACAAAATTTGTCCTCACACCATCCTCACAACACTTGCAGCCCTGCATTGGGAGCATCACCCCATGAATGAAAAAATACAAGTACGGAGATTGTTGTGAGGACAAATTTTGTGAGGACTGAATCCTGTCTCAGTTGGAACACTACAACTTTGTTTGTTCTACATTTTAAATCCATAATTTATTAACATTTGTTTTGCTGATCAAACAAAAAAAAATCATTGTAGTGATTGCAGATATAGAGAAGTTGTAATGTGGTGTTCTTTATCTGCTACCATTGTTTGAAGCCCAATAGTCTACTATTTGAAACATAGTAGATGTGATTCAGTCCTGTAAAATCAGAATAGAAATCTGGAAAAAAAATAAACAGAAATAGAGAAGAGAAGAGAAACAGTGGAAGAGGAAGAAGAAAAGAGTAAAGAAGGGAGAAGGAGAAGAGAGTTTGATTGGATCTCTCTCTATTTTCCTAATCTATTTTATTAAACTAATAATCATGGATCAATTACAATCTTGCCCTTAATGGGGCACCCAGCTAATAAACATCACTTAAAAGAAACAAAAGAATGATTAAGGGGCCCATGTGGACAAGGCCCATTAACACTAACATAACATATAAGAGAAAAAGAAACAAACTAAAGCACTAGGGCCCATCTGGCCCAGTTTCTCTACAATAGTTACTTGGTGAATTTTAGATCCATCTTGCAATGCATGTTTGCAAGTTTTCTATTTTGCCAGTGCCAAAATTTAGGTAAATAAATGTTCTGGCTTGAACCTTTTGTTGAAACCTTTTTGTGCATTGTGATCTCTAAAATGTATATTTCTTTCTTAGTTGTTCAAGATGCAAATTGTAAATTTTTCTAATTGTCAATACCTTTTTCTTTGTTTTTGTTTGGTTCCCAGAAAGGAATGCTTTACTTTGACATGGCCCAGTTTGATGGGATCCTCAAAAAAATTGCAGAATTTAACAATGCTCTACTGTCTGACCTGGTATGTTTTTTTAGGCCCAGAAGTGTGAAATGTTGTTTTATGTAGAATATCACAAGTCCAGCCTGTTTTTTAATTGGTTAATGCACTGCTTTTGCAATCACCACCTCTCATGGTTTCCACCTTATCACTTAAAATTAATTTCCTGTTTTCTTAATATCTGATTTTGAGTGGTGTAATGGTAAAATCTTGGGCTGGCAAGCATGAGAATGCGGATTCAAGTCTGAGAGTGGCCACTTCATGCAAAAAAAATGAAGTTATTAAATGTAAATAATAACGTTTTGTGCCAAAAAAAGGTGAAGGTTAGGGCTAACATTGGGTAATGGTCTTTTTTAAATGTAGATGGTGACATGATGTATGGCAATACTCGTTGAAGTTAAACCTGATTTTGGGTCTTAAGTTTCAATTATGATCACTTTAAGCAAAAGAAATAAAAAAAAGACAAAAGTTAGGTCTGTATTGAGTCTACCCCTCCCAAGACCCCAGAATGCTGGAACTATCATTGGGAAATAACTCTTTCTTAAAGTAAACTTGATTCTGGATTTTATGTTTCAAAATTCAAATACCATTCTTCTATTTTGGTAAGTAAAATAATCATTAAGGAGGCACAAAAGCCAAACAAGATACAGCAAAGAGATTGACCAAGAAACACTGACCTAGACTCGGACACTAAAATATCACACAAGCAGCCAGGAGCCAAAGAATGGGTTGCCACATTACAAGACCTGTTAACAAAACTAAACTGAACAGATTGTTAGAATGCTCGAGTCAGGGGTATTTCGGTCATTCTGGTTTATCTGTTTGAGAGTGAAAGGTCTATTGTATCTGAGTTTAAGTTATGTGTCCCACCTCTTATGAGGGACAAAATGGTCTTTCTTGTAACTCTATGATTTTGAATAAATACAAGTGGGTCAGCTAGGGGAGAAGTGATTTTTTTCTCTCTTCTAGTCTGGCCGAACTTCTCTTCTTCTTCTTTCTCTTTTCTCTTCTTCTCTACTTCAACCTAGAATCAACTAGGGTTTCCTTACATGGTATCAGAGCAGTAAGGTCTTTTTCTCCTTTCTTTTTCTCTCATTCTTTCTTGCTGCTGTTCTCTTTTTGGGTTCGCCACCAGCTTTCACAGTCATTCTCTTTTTTCGGCTGACCTGAGTGGAGGTTCGATAAGGGGCTGAAAAGGAGCTGTCGTTTTGTGGGCCTGGAGGTGAGAATGCCTCCGGTCATTATTGTGGTGGTCGTTGAAGTGGTATACTAAACCCTCTATTCAGTGTACGAAGAGGGCTGAATGTGGACAGGTATGAACACTGCTGTCGTTTGTCCAAGGGACTGTGAATGCTGTGTTTTTTGCTTCAAAATTTGTTTGTTGTGGAGCTCGGTGTGTCTGATATGCATATCAGTCGTGTTCCTCTGCATTTTTCCTCATATGTGTGTTGAAAGAAGAGTTGTCGACTGCTGAAGTTCATGACAGCAGTGGTGTGGTAGTGGTTGTGTCGTGCTGATTGGTGTATTTATGATTCTAAGTATTTAAAAGTGAACTCCTAGACCTTGTGTGTAATCAGTTCTGCAGTATGAAGAACAAGTGTTCGATGTAATGACTGAGTGATTTCAGCCCTAGTATGTTGATGGTGAATGGTTCTGCAGTGTGCAATACAGGTGTTTGATGTGATGACTGAGTGATTTCAGCCTTAGTGTGTGGTGTGTAATGTGCATTTGAAGAAGTTGGAGTTGGTGGTGTTATAAGTGAGATAAGTCTTGTGAAAGTGTGTGAGGTTGGGTTGTATATTTGAAGGTGAAATAATTAAGATGGCTTCATTTGGAGATGAGAATGWCAATAAAACATGTGTCATGCTTTCTCCAGACTATCTAAGTGTTTAAATGACATCCATCAAGCTGAATGATGAGAATTATGTACCATGGGCAAAATCTGTGGAGGTGTTCTTGAAGGCCAAGAGGAAGGTCAAACATGTGAGAGAGGAGAAACCTCCCTCTGATTCCCCTAGGTTCAGTGACTGGGAACAGGAAGATGCATAGATAATGACATGGCTCTGGAACAACATGGAATCAAAGATTAGTGTGAACTTCATGTTCCTAGATACAACTAAGGAAATCTGGGATCATGCTAAGAAGCTATACTCTGGACAAGATAATACAACTAGGGTGTATCAGTTGTACCAAGAGTACTTCAATCTGAAGCAAGAGAGTCAAAGCTTAGAAGAGTACTATGCAAGTTTGAGGAACATCCGTAATGAGCTCAATGTGTATCACCCTCTAACATCAGATGTTCAGATCCAACAACAACAACGTGAGCAACTTGATGTGACGAGGTTTCTTGTGGGTTTGAAGGCTGAGTATGAGCCTGTTAGAGCACAAATATTGGGGGGATCTGCTCTTCCCTCACTTGAAGAAGTTTTTGCCCGCCTTAAGAGGACATCCATTGAGTCGGTAGAACATTCTCTCTCTGACAGATCTGGTTTGGTAGTGACTAAAGGGGGTGGTCGTGGAAATAGAAGTGGTGGTGGTAGTAGTGGACTCCCAAGCAATCGTGGTGGTCACATGTTTAACCGGGCTGGTGGCCGGATTGGATGCCGAGACTCAGGGGGAGGCTGTGGAAAAGGTAGAAGTAATGCCCAGAGAAAGTGTACACATTGTGGTTTAGAGGGACACAGTTAATTTCTGCTATGATTTACGTGGTCCACCCAACACTTGGGCTAACCATGCTATGACTAAGGGTAGTGGCACAATTACTGAAAGCCAGCAAACTAACCCAATCCCCTCCACATCTACTTGTGCTTATGGGAAGGAAATGGTGAGTGTACTGCGTGCAGTATATGAGCAGTTCTTTCAAACATCTCAACAGAACACCGCTACACTTGCCCATTTAGGTATGGCTT